GAACATGGTGTTTATGGGATCGTAGTCCAGGTGTTTCAAGGCTGCCTCAACCACTCATCCTCAGGACTGGTCACATTTCCATATTTGGTCACTTCCACAAGGTAGCCACGCCACCTTTGCCCAATACTGGGGTCCCTTTCATTTTAAAGGCTGCTTTATAAAACTGCACTTCCTCTTGACTGGGTTTGGAAGAAGCGTCTTAATTATCGCCTCCCTCCTCCCCCTTTCCCAGTTTCTTGGCTCCGGGAAGGAAAAGCGTTCAATTTAACTTCGTGTCAAACAAAAGCAAGTTTGTCTTCCATGCATACTTCGTGGTCATCAACCTGCTGTGGTCTGGTGTGGTTTTGTTCTGCAATGCAAATGCCCGAGCATCCATTTGGGTGACTCAGGCAGGTGGGAAACGGTTCCAGATGAACGAGGCCCCATTCAGTCTGGGAGATTCTGGTGGGCCCTGGACCATTTTTGAACCAGCTTCCGGCTTCCTTTTGGCTAAGGTGGAGCTGGCCCGTTGGCATCTTCCCAAGCTAGCTCACCGAACGGGCATCCCCGGTTGGTTTTTACAACTCAGAACGGTAAATCCCAAACCAGGAAACAATATCCTGTTCGTTTGAGGCCTCTGCAGCCACACCTTGCCTTTATCACGCTGCAAGAGAAGCAACCAGGAAGTTGTGGTGCCTGCGTGCGCCTTCTTCTCCCTGGTTCACGCTGGACACAGGCAGAGAGAGAGTTTGCAATCCCCAGAAAAACCATGCTACTTGCAGGTGCTCAATGCGATGCCGAACAGTGGCCTAGGGCAGGGGTGGGGAACCGGAGCAGAGTAGAATCCAGCCTCAAAATAAGGCTTGTTATCCTCAGCAAGGTCAGCCCATAGATTTATTTTTATTTATTAATCTTTTTAATCCTGCCTTTGTTACTACAAAACTCAAGCGTACCTAATGTGCCTTCCTCCTCCTAGTTTCCCCACAACAACAACACTGACAGGTGAGTTGGGCTGACTGGCCCAAAGTCACCCAGTTTGGCTCTCCTGCCTAGGGCAGGACTAGAACTCACCATCTCCTGGTGATAGGTGCAGTCACCCAGCTGGGTTTTATGCCTAGGGCAGGACTAGAACTCATAGGCTCCTAGTGACTGGTCCAAAGTCACCCAAATGGGTTTCATGCCTAAGGTGGGATTAGAACAGTATCCGACGATCTCTAGCCGGGTTTTAGTGGGTCGACCGAAAGTACGGATTGCACCCTGATCTTGAGTGGTGGAGGACCAAAGATCCGGTCGGGGAAGTGGTGATGTTGTGGTGATGAGAGACAGACCATCGAACCACCACCGTCGGAGAGAATGTCCTGTCGGTGTCGACCTTCATCTGGAGCCGGAAAAACAAAACCCCTCCCTGGCAAAGGTGGCACGGAGAAGCTGCGGAGGGCTGACCTTCTTGCTCTCCAGCCAGCCTGCGGTGTTTTCAGTAAGAAGGTGTTGCTGGAATGAGCCTTTGCCCATCCGGCTCTCCGAATAAAGACCTCTTTCTGGTCAGTGTTTTATGCTAACCCTCCTTGGCCTGGAAACTCTTAAAAAACAGCCCTGCGAAGGAAAGGAGAGAGATGGTCGAACAGGGGGGAGGAGGAGGAGGAGGAAGAAGAGATGATTACCTCTCCTCTCACTTGGGAAAGTTTCCATTGGGGGCACCTGGGGGTCACAGAGAGATGGGTGGGCACTGCAGGGATGCTTTGCACCCTCCTGCTCTACACGTCAGGAGTCACAAGAGGCGATTTGCCTCTTTTTTAGGCATGGACCCCTCTGGGTTCCTTTAAGTCAGTGGTTCTCAACCTGTGGGTCGGGACCCCATTTGGGGTCGATCGACCATTTCACGGGGGTCGCCAAGAAAGGCTGTCCGCCATTTTTTTTGTCCGCCATTTTTCCCCCTTTTCCGGTGGGTGCCTTACCTCCCTTGGGCTGGGCCAGCTGGTGGTCGGCCTGCTCCGTCTCTGCCGCTTGCCAGCTACGCCTTGGCTGGCGCAGGGGGCGGAACCACGCATGCATGGCGCTCCCGGGCAGGGAAAGTCCTCGACTTACGACCGGTTGGGTAGTCCTCGACTTACGACCGGTTTAGTCCTCGACTTACGACCGGTTTAGTCCTCGACTTACGACCGGTTGGGGTCGCGGCATTAAAAAGGTTGAGAACCACTGCTTTAAGTGTTGCATCAGGCTTGCCTTCATCTTGGCAGGCTTGGCTGGGGATGAGGGGAGGTGTAGCCCTTCCAGACGTGAAAGGCATCTGGTCGGCAAAGACCTTCGGGACACAGCTTTCTGCCAAGATTTTTGGGGGGAGGTACAGCTACCTTAGGACCTTGCAGCCTAGGAAGTGGACTTGGCAGCAAGACAGTTGCCCCAACTTATAACTGGGGGGGAGGATTGGAACCCAGTCCTCCCCGGACAGGCCTGCCTGTGTAAAACGAAGCCATTTGGAAGCCGTTGGATGCTGAGGGCAAGGTCGGGGTGTAAATATCACCTTGGGATCTCCCGGATTCCAATCAACTGAGATCAGCAGACCTGGCCCCCACCCCACTTCCCATCTGCGGGTGGGGGGGGTCTGAATGGGCCTACATAACAGGGCCGGTGTGAGAACCAGACCCCTGGAGCATTCGGCTTGTGGGGCCCACTGAGGAAGAGGGCTGGCTGGGGATGAGAGGTGCTGTAGTCCAGCCTATCAAGGGGTAAAAAAAAACAGATTTTGTAGCATCTGATGCGTCCTTCTGGTGCGGG